CTGCTGGGCCTATGGGTATGTGTGTATAACACACGCAGTCACAGGAGCAAGACACAACACAAAGCACAATACACACACGATAATAGAAAGAGTGCTCCGACAGAAGAGATTAGAGGTGACTCGAGAAGTGAGATACGACGTAGGAAAAATCCTGAACAATTTTAATACTTTTAATATTTATCAGTAAATATGATAAATATATATTTTAATTATTTTAATACGAAGACAAGGCATGCAGTGAACTAGTTTAACGTTAATCGAATAAGCACCTGAAGATGGCACTTTTGTGCCGAAACATGTAGTGCGGGAGAAAGGAGTGAGGTAGATAAGTGTATGCACTAAAAGACGGTGAAATAAATCATGGAATTAAATCAGTGCAACAGGACGCTAAAATATAACATTCTCACAAATCATTCACAAAACCAACACGTTACACATTCAGGGCTGAAATCCACACAAAAGTCACTTTTCCACGTAATCGCCGTACACTGAGAGGCTACTCCCCACCAGCACTCCAGTTTATTGAATCCATCTTGCAAGAACTCTGTGCCCTGTGCCTAGGGTCATTCCCTTGTTTCCTTTGCCTCAAAATCTAATAGGAATACTCGACCATCAAGATGTTTCTTTTCGATGCCCAGAACAGGCGGCAGGAGCAAGATCGGTACTGCATGGTAGATGATGCAGAACCCCTCAACCAAACTTTTTCAAGAGGAGATACATGAGGCCACAGTTGCCATGAAGCAGGATGAGACCAGGGCGTTTCTTTCTGAGTTGCGCTTTCAGTTTCGCAGTAGGATTCGGAGCTAACAGCAGTCGCAGGCCAATGGAAATTAAGGTTAAAAAAAAGGTTAAAGCTATCCTTGTTACCAGGCCATGGAGGTCCATAGGGTTGTGAGACGTCGAGGCTCCCATATTTTTTCTAGACAATCGACTCACAGATGGCGGTGAAATCAAACTTACACGCTGGTCGCGCTTTATCCCCAGGAAGATCCCTGGTACTCATTTCTGTAAGAGGTTGAGTCGACCACAGGACCGTGGTGCGGCTGGAAGGATTAGGTCAACTAAAATATCCAATAACCTCATCGAGAATCGAACCCACGACCTTCCGGCTTGTAGCATTAGTGCCTCAACGAACTACGCTACCGCGTGCCAACAAGAGTTAATAAGTAAAATGTAATTCTTCAGCGTCCCGAAAGATGGTGAGCATGGTCTTGCTTTCAGTAGGCCTAAGTATTTCCTTGTGTTGGGGACGTCATATGCTTCCACTCATGGATGCTCACTTCGATTTCGGGGTGTAGTGGTCATGCGCGTAATAATCCTGTTCATGGATTGTGTTCCCTCTGCAACGCACAGGTCCAGAGCCGTAAGACAGCATTCCTGCCGCTCCAATTTGTGTGTACGCCAACCACATCGACACCCACCGTGTTGACACCTTCAGATATTGGTGCAAGTCACGGACGTTGTCGAACACGAAGCCATATGACATTCTGAGCTCTGTTGAGAATTCCCACACCTTCACGCCTCCACTAACACGAATGGCCGCATCAACATACTGCGCAGTGCTCGTAACACCCATGCGACTTCTTTCGAACTCACGGCACCAACAAACGACTCCCTGGAATATCACAGCATTTTCGCTGCACACAGGGAATGAATTTATGCTCGAGAAAGCCATTTGGCAAGCAAGAAACAAATCACTGATGAAACTTCCAGAAGAGACAACTCCTGGTACGGTAGAGCCATTTTGAATCTGCTTTCGTGGCCCTATGCAGGCAGATGCTGCCACCTACTGCCTGCCACATAAACCTCAGTCTGTCTGGTTTATGCCGCCACGTTCATCATTCAGAGAGAAATAAAGATTGTCTTAATTGCATTCATGAAATAAATTTCCGATCCGCAGTCCTATATAATGTAACGTCCTCTCCTCGTCAGTCTCGGTTTCGGTAAACGCCGATGGAGGCGCCACTTGGCGGTTTATCGGTGCCGTATATAAAATAGGTTAATACAGTATAAAATTCCATAAAATATAATATGACAAATATGAGACTTTCTCTTTAATGTAATTAATTAACTTCATCAGGCAGAATTGGTGGGCAATCGACCTTTACACCTGTAAATCACTTCCTTACGTTTGAGCAGTCTGAACACCCTCTGGTGATGGTCTCGTAAGACTGAAACATGCAAAGGTTGTCATATAATTAAATAAAATTCATCGCACTCGATGATGATGATGATGTTTGCTTAACATGCTGAGAACTCACTAAAATGGCCTCATTAATTCGGATTTTTGTTTCTTGCATTACGGCCTTGATGATCTCATTCCCGTGACCAGAGATCGCACACTGCCGCGTGTAGCGCTGGCATAGATGACAGTAAATATATGTAAACCCCATGTAAACATCGGGGCCATTCTAAATTAGATTTAAAGTCAAAGAATACTTGATCTCGAAAATCTGCAGAGAAAGAGTGGATATGCAAAGAGCTAACCTAATCTTTCTGCGTGTGAGTGAACAGTGCGTATTAGTGTTTTAGTTGGTCTCCTTTTCATTTTCATTTCAATGTTTTAGAAGTATATTTTCCGTCTGTTAAAATGAGTGACAGAGGGAAATATACGGCACAAACCCTTCATAATTCGGACTTTCACAGATTTTGACAAGGGTTCGCTCCCAATTAGTCAGAGTTAGTGAGATCTTACTGTAATGGCGAAATGTGACATAATGCAACACCATTTTTCATTACGTTACATCGAATTTTATACTCGTATTTTATCCAACGTCACATCAGACATTTACATTTACCCACACTGTTCTATCGTCACATCGCAGGTGCAGCCATAGCGACCTGACCCGTGTGCTGGTTGGCCTGCAGGCCGTCGGAACGAATGTAACGCGGCCCGTGGATGAGCTGATCCTGGAAAACAACCATTTGCCTTCCCTGCCCGGAAATATGTTCTCTGCGTTGCGTGTGGTGCGACTTATGTTGCGGGACAATGGACTGGAGCGGGTGGCGGCCAGCTGGTTGGCAGGGCTGGAAGACACTCTGCTCGAAGTGTTTGTGGTGGAACCACGCCTGCGCAGTTTGCCAGTCGACAGTCTGGAGCAGCTACGGGGCATCGAGGCCGTAACCCTGCAGGGTGGGGCCATCAAACGATTGCCGCGCTTCTCTGGACTACCGCGCGTACGTTACCTGCACATCCAGTCACCCGCCCTAGTTGAACTGTCGCCCCTCGGGTTCAAGTCGTTGGGTGACCTAGAGCAGATGCATGTGACATTTAGCCCACGCCTTACACGACTGGAGGGTGGCTTCCTACAGGACCTTCCCCGACTGCGCATACTCAACGTGTCACACTGTGGAGTGGCCTGGGTTCATCCCAGAGCCCTGGCTACACTGCCCGCCCTCAAGCAGCTCTGGCTTGTTGGCAACCGACTGACTGACGTGGGCATGGTGGGGCGCGCAGCCCGCGAGCTTCCCGCCCTAACAGTCCTGCGACTGGACGATAATCGCTTTGATAGCCTGGGCGAGGCTTCCTTAGTGGACCTACCGTCCTTAAGCGAGGTGACCCTGGCGGGCAATAGAATAGCACAAGTGCAACGCGGAGCTTTCGACAAACTGCCTGCCCTTCGCAGACTCGACTTGAGCCGCAACCGTGTACGCAGGATACACCCGGAAGCATTTCGACAACATTCCAATACACTGGAGGAGCTCTGGTTGAGTGCCAACGCGATAGATCACGTGACCGAGGCGCGATCCTTGCTAGATGCAGTTCCACGCCTCCGCTATCTGGATCTCAGCTATAATTACATAGAGAAAATTCCGTTTGGGGCTCTACGAGGACACCCCACCCTAGAAAGGCTACACCTGGACCACAATAGGGTGCAGCACATTCAACGTGATGCCTTCACAGCCATGCCAGCGTTACGTGAACTACGCCTGCGCAACAACTCGCTCTCCAGCTTCTTGGATGGGCCATTCTGGAACCTTCCAGCCCTCAAGGTACCGTAGAGATGTGTCAATGGTTCGTACCAGGACCCTCTGTAATAAGAGTGGAATTAAGTGTGTAAGCAAATTTCGATTAGTTAATTACTTCATGCACAGCGAGTATGTATACTGCTGTCCTGTGTTCACTTATTATCATTTCTTGAATAATATAATAAGACTACTAGAGGTTGGGTGATAGGGACACAGGAATGCAGAACATTCGTAGAAAAACTGAAAAGTAAATGAAGAACTCTCTCCTCTGGAATATAGCGTCATGCAGTGTACTGAAAATCAGCATATACAGCCTGATTCAGAAAGATGGACACAATTTCAATTGCCTATATTTCCTTAACTATATGTTGCATTTGAATTCTGTAAAGTACATTTGAAAGAGGATGTTGTAAAGTTTCTAATAATGCCGCTAGAGCACCCCAGCACCGCGTCAGTTGTAAGCGAGATGGCTACTATGCGTCAGAAGATTTTTTGCAATCGTGAGTTCAGTAAAAGTGAGTCTGCGACTGCTGTGCAGCATGCATTTCTTCGTAAGTTTAACATCCAACCTCCGAGGAAGAGCACTTATCGTTGGAATAAACAATTTGCTGAAACTGGCTCTCTGTTTAAGGGCAAAAGCCCGTGCCGATCGAGTGTATCGGAGGAGAACGTGGAGCGAATCCGAGTGAGCTTTGAACGTAGCCCAATGAAGTCAACCCGTAGTGCTAGTAGAGAACTTGGACTATCGCAAACAACTGTCTGGCGTGTATTGAGGCGCCGGTTAGTGTACAAACCATACCACCTACAAATGGTACAGGCTCTTCGGGCAAATGATAAGGTAAAGCATGTAGAATTTTGTGACCGTATGCTCAAAAACATGGAAGATGAATTGTTTCTGCCTCATGTAATTTTTAGCGATGAAGCTATGTTTCACCTAAGTGGAAAAGTCAACAGGCACAATGTTCGCATATGGGGCTACAAAATCCCTGTGTAACACTCGAACATGTGAGGGACAGCCCGAAAGTTAAATGTGTTCTGTGCACTATCGTTAACAAAGGTTTGTGGACCTTTCTTTTTTGATGAAAACACAGTTACTGGAATAAAGCATCTTAGATGCTGCAAAACTGGCTTGTTCCTCAAATGAATGAAGATTCAGGAGATTACATTTTCCAGCAGGATGGGGCTCCATCCCATTGGCACCTGAATGTTCGACGTTTCCTGAATGAATCTCTACCTCAACGATGGATAGATCGCATGGGGAATGAAGACCTGGCACTTCAGTTCTGGCCACCGAGGTCTCCTGATCTCACACCTTGCGACTTTTCCCTGTGGGGATTCGTGAAAGATGCAGTTTACATACCACCTCTTCCCACAAATTTGAATGACCTAAGAAACCGTGTCACAGCTGCTGTGAACTCAGTGACCCAAGATATTTGTCGAGTGTGGGATGAATTCAGCTACCGTCTAGATGTTTCCGTGCAGCCGGAGGGGGGCACATTGAACATATATAAACTTCCATGTATGTATAATCAAATGCAATTTACAGAATTCAAATGCAACATATAATTCAGGAAATATAGCCAATTGAAATTGTGTCCATCTTTCTGAATCACTCTGTATTTCTGAGAAATAAGTCGACTACAATTTCACTATCGACCCTAAAGATGAAGGTGATATGTTCCTCCGAAACGTCGGAGACTTCATGACAGTATATACCCTATAAGATAGAATTCTTCGTAACCACTCCTGTATACAACTCAGATTCTAAAAAGAGAAGGTCAACTTGAAAGATAGAAAAGTAGATGGGAGAATGAGATGATCTTACAGAAATATGCTTCAAAGTTTGAACATGGGTGGACCTTCCTCAGGTTTGTATCAAGTAAGGGTCTTTGATATTGGCAGTGGTGTCTTTCATTCTGCTACTACAGTGTGGGTTAACCTGCATACAAAAAGTAACTATAACGTGTTGCACACAGACGTAAATTCTATTCTTGGGAAACGATATCAAGACTAAAGAGTCTGTACTAAACTTTTTCGTCCATTTCATTAAATATAAACGATATAAAAATATATCAAATGAAAATTTGACACCTTAATGAGGTGTGTATGGCGTTATATTTGTAAGATGAATCATTTGTAGGAAAGTAAGAAACCCAACATTATTAAACTGTACCTAGCGGGCCAGAGAGGTTGCTGAAAATAAGCTGCAAAAGTGGGCTTCAAAACTAAAACAGAGATGTTTCGGTGCTTACCAGTAATAAAAGGTCTGAAAGATATAGTATTTGACTTTCAGAGTTTAGGAGTGTCAGAACTTGTCCACACGTAACGAACAAATATTTTCGTTTAGAAGCAGAAATCGTCCAAAGGAATGGCACTACAGTTGCCATGGCAATGGGACGATGTTCTAGCTAAACTTTTGTCTTCCAAATTACATGCCCTTTTTTTTATCTGAAGGCACAGACAGAGCCAATATCCAAAACTGTTTGTTTTTCGCCCAAACAATAGGAAATGTCTCATGGCTGTCCAGTTTATGTAGTAATTTCATCACAATGTGGCAGGGATTGGATCTAGCATACAACTACTTCCGGCGGCTAGACCCTCGTTTGCTTGCAAATCTTCCTTTGCTGCGACGCCTTGACTTGAGTGGGAATGCTTTGGAAGTGGTGGATCCAGACGCATTTCTCAACACACGTGCCCTGGAACATGTGAACCTGTCACGGAATGCACTCGTAAATCTTCACCCAGCTACTTTTCGGGACCTGCAAGGCCTATTTGAGCTGGACTTGGGTTGGAACAGACTGAGAGAACTGGTTCCAACATTGCCACCTGGTCTGGAGTATCTGTATGCACCGAGAAATCAACTGACAGCTCTGCCTGTTGCGCCAAAACTTGCCCTGCCAGCGCTTCGACTCCTTGACCTCACTGGTAATGGCATCCAGCGTATCATGCCTGGGTCTCTGAGTACTTTGGGTCAATTGCGTTGGCTACATCTGGGAGAGAATGCATTGCAAACATTGGAAGAGGGATCATTAAGTGGACTAGCCAGGTTGGAAGTACTGGACCTACACAACAACCGCCTACTGAGTCTGGATGACAAGTGCTTGAGAGATGTGCCACAACTCAAACAGTTGAACCTGCATGGGAATCGACTGGAGCGGTTAGGGACTCAACACCTGGAAAAGAATGTACACCTGACTCACCTAGACCTCAGTCACAACCAGCTGAACAGCATTGAACCCAATGCACTGGCCAGCAGCAGGTACAGTGGAACTTAAATTTATTACATACTCATATATACTCGTATAAGGGCAAGTACAAATGGTCTTGATAAGAACAACCACTTCCATATTTCCTTTAAATTATTCCATAATTTCTGGTATTATGACAAATGTCTGTTACATCTCCTTCGTTGTTCATCTTTGGTCACCCAAAATGATAAATGAGAATTATTTTAGGAAATTTCTAGACACACTTTCTTGGTACGTGAGATGAGGAATTTCCATCATGTTTCATTGTCTCATCACAGGGGAGGTTTGCTCAAGCCACAATGCCTCTGATTTTTATTTCAGATACGCCCAGTTACAATCTCAGAAAGAATACTGACTATCCTGACTGAAGTTTTTCCATAATCCTTCCAGGATTACTTTCTTTACATTCAAATTTCTCTTCATGATGGACGTGTTTTAAATAGAAACTATCATTTCTGTCAGTACTTTTAGAGTTACATAGGTATTGTAATGTTGTAGGGCTCTGCAGGAGCTGGATGCATCCAACAATGCTCTGACTGAACTTCCTGAGGCACTCCAAGGTCTGTCAACTGTCCAGTTGCTAGATCTTGCCAACAACCGCCTCAAGGCACTGAATCCATCTGCCCTCAGCAGTATGAAATCACTTTCAGAGCTCCGGCTTGCTAGGAACAAACTGCAGCAGCTGCAACAGAATGCATTTCATGGCCTGCCACACCTGGCACTGTTAGACTTGGACAGCAATGAACTGACAAGTATGGAAACCAATGCAGTGAGGTCACTGCCAGAGCTGAAAGCAATACGCCTTGGACGGAACAAACTTCTTACTGTGCCCACTGCTGCCTTCACTGACCTGCCTCAACTTCAAAGTGCTGAACTGCAAGAAAATCAATTGACAAACATAGCAAGCAATGCATTCAGTGATGTGCCTCAACTGCTCTTGCTAAATCTCAGCTATAACCAACTGACTGGCTTGAACCATGCCGGGCTGAAGAACCTGAAGTCTCTGGAAGTGCTGGATGTCAGCCACAACCAGGTGGCAAGGGTGGGGAGTGGCAATTTGGAGGGCATGGAGTGGCTCGTAGAGCTGAAGGTAAGTATTTACGAGATATAAGAACACCACACTGGTAATTCTGCCATATGGATTGACTTAAAAATATCGGAGTGAACATATTCGGTTGCGAACTGGCTTAAGGGTATCAGACTGGCTATAGCAAAATATTCCTTTGTTTAAAAAGACTAAACACAGTGTGAGAGGAACTGGTTTAAGGATATCAGACGAAGTATGTGGGGATATGAATCGATTTCAGGATATTTTATTTGTGCACAACAGATCACTAAGGACGCGGTGCAAGGGCCATCCCCTTTGATATGTATGCAGGGTGTTTAATGACGTTTTCAATATTAACACTGTATAGTATCTGTTCAGGATATCAGACCGAATATACTGGGATATGAATTAGATCGAGATTAAACTAAGATAAATGACATTAAGCATCTGGGGAAATTAACTGACTTGAGATTAAACTAATTATCTTACTTGTGGATATCTTAAAAATCAACATTAATGGAAACATGATATTACAAATACAGTAAAACTCCGTTATTACGCGGGTGTTGGAAAACAAAATGAAGACTCGCGTCATCGGCAACCAGTGGTATTTTGGAAAATCTGGCGAGAAATATTTTTTCAGCACAAGAGTTTTTGTTTATAACAAATTTAATATCAAATTACAAATTGTACAAATGTACCATGATCTCTTTCTGTCAATGTTGATTTCCGCCCACTTCCTCTTTGCTGATGTTGTCTCCCCATATTTCGTGCATGCCGACATAACCTTAGAAGCTGTGGCTCTCAATACACTGACAAGATGTTCCAGCTAAGCGCACACCAACAATCAGAATCGTTCAAAATCAGACAGGTCTCCCATTTTCCAATTCTTTCACAAGGCCTGTAACTAGATACAATCACTAATGTACTGACATGAGCACTACAGAATGTAAACAAACTGAAGAACATTCAGTGTTGCTAGCGTAAGTTCTTTTAATGTAGTCACATAAATTCTATTCAATTTCTTTGTGTCTCCATTATTTTGTCTACCCATTGTATGCCTGAAGAGAAACGAAGCACACTGGACTTCTCTAAATGCCAGAACCTGACAGCTGAAGCGTGTTAAGTAGGCAAGTCGATGGTTTCTTGCTTATGCAGGGAAGAAAAAAAGGGTAACTAGAAGTTGCTTCTGTCACCCAGAAAGCACACAAACATTAGCTACAAACCTAGACAGCTTACAAAAAATGGCATTTTATGCATAACTCTTTTCTAATGTTATGACAGAGGCTAATTCCCCACTGCTAAGAAAGTAACATTTGCTCTCAGCAAAAACAATAGTGTAAAAAGGTTCAGTTTCCTCTGCTATAAGACTACTGAAGCATCTTGGCTTCCAGCACAAAAAAGCTCATGATGGACACATGGTGAGAGGTGACATCATTGTGGGAATGTTGAAGTTTTTGCAAATAATGCTCCACCTTAGAAAATCTGGTGATTACTGACCGGTGTTTTACCTTGAAGAAACTTGGGTAAATCAGAATCACACACTTGAATATGTCTGGCAGAACTCAAATAGGTATGGGGCTCAAGAATCCTGAAGGGAAAGGAAAGCATCATTTGCCATGCAAGATCAGCTAATATGAGTTCCATACCTGAGAGCAAGAAGGTGTTCCGGTCTAAATTCACTTGTGATTATCACCCAGAAATAATCATACATTCTGAAATTGGTTTCTAAATAGCTGTATTAACTACTTGCAGAAGAAGTATATTAATTATGGACAGTGCGAGCTACCATTCGGTTATAGTAAACAAGGTGCTAATATCTCCAGCAGAAAACAAGTTATTTCTGAGTGGCAGCAACAGAGAGGAATTGACTTCCCTCCTACCGAAACGAAATCAGAACTTCTGCAGCGAGTGCTCCCTTTCAGAAATAATACGAAACAGTACAAACTTAACCACCTGGCTAATGAAAGGGGGCATCAAGTTACACTTCCATATCACTGTCAATATAACCTTATCGAATTTGTGGGCTCAGGTGAGTCGCAAAAAAAGAATAAAACGCTGAAGGTTTCTAGACATGGAAAGACGGGTCAACGAGGAACTTGATAGGGTGGTGTGTACATCACACTGTAAAACCGTAGGAAGATGATTACGCAAAAAATAAAAAATAAAAATGACGAAATTTTAGAGCCCATTATGATCGACTCATGAGACACTGAAAAGAGGAAGAAAGGGATAACCAATTCTGGTGAAGGTGATGACAACGGGCTATTGGCTGCGCCTCTATACAAGGTGTCCCTGGAGGAAAGATCAATATCCTGTGAGGCCATAGTATCGACCATTCTAAGCAAAAACTTGTACATATACATGTGTCCTATTCCAAACGGTTTCCAGGATACAGCTACTATTTTAGTGTACAGATGGACACTTCATGTCCTCATACGAGTTGCAGAGTGCACTGATGTTGTCGGAAGAATTTTCGAAAAGGTATTATACATAGGTTGTACCGATAGTCATGAGCAACTTTCTTTTGCATGCAACCTGGGAATAGCAGACGAAAGAGAGTATGGTAATAGGTGGAACCAGCTGTTGTGTTAACCTTGAGTGTCTTGTGACGTCAATAGCTTGCATCATGTGACCAGTATCACTCCTAACAAAATGGCCGACAACGATATCTCGTTTCGCCAGCGTGCTGTCATCGAATTTCTTGTGAGAGAGGAAATCCCTGCTGCAGAAATTCACCAAAGATTTCAGCATGCTTATGGAAGTGTGTGCATGGGTGCGAGCAGTGTTCGAAGATGGGTGAAACATGTTAAAGATGGGAACACCAGCATTGAAGATGAGCCTTGGAGCGGTCGTCCTCGAACAGCCTCAACTGAATGCAACAAGGAAAGAGTGAATGAGATCACTGAAGATGACAGGCGTGTGACTGTGGACACAATATCCCAAAAACTTGGAATAGGGCACAGTGCAGTACAGGAGATGATTGAAAGCTTGGGCTAAAGGAAAGTTTGTGCTCGTTGGGTCCCGTGGTTATTGACCGAAGACCACAAAGGTCAGCAAAAAGCCATCACCTCATAACTGCTGCACAGATATGGACATGAAGGCGATGATTTTTTGCTCTGAATTGTGACAGGTGACGAAAACTGGTTTCACCATTTCGAGCCTGAAACGAAATGGCAGAGTATGGAATGGCACCCTTTGCATTCTCCATCAAAAAAGAAGGCAAAGACAGTGCCATCAGTTGCGAAGGTGATGGGCACAGTCTTCTGGGATGCAGATGGGTTTATTCTGGCCAAATTCCTGGAACCTGGGCAAACCATCAGTGCTGCTCGTTATGTCCAGATGCTGCACAAGCTCTGTCGTGCATTGCGCAATAAACGTCTGGGACGAAACATCATCATCTTGCATGACAACGCTCGCCCCCACGCCACCTGCCTCACATTGGAAGCAATTGCAAAGACGGGGTGGGAAGTTCTTCCTCACCCCTCCTATAGCCCTAATCTGGCACCCTCTGACTACCATCTTTTCGGATTTGTGAAGGATCAGTTGCGTGGACGTTTTGAGACAAGGGAGGCAATTCAGAAAGTAGTGCGTCAGTCTCTTCGGATGGCTGGAACGGAATTTTACAGAAGGTAAATTTTCAAACTCCCAGAACGCTGGGAGAAATGTGTACCAAGAAGTGGCGATTATGTGGAAAAATAAAGAAAGGTCTGTAGACTGAGGTGGTGTATTTGGTTTGTCAATAATAAAGCATGTTACTTTACAAAAAATTGTTGCTCATGACTATCAGTACGACCCTCATACTAGGTAAACTGTACCAACTTTGTCACGTGAATAACAAACAGTGGCATTAGAAACATTATGCAATATCTCTTTCTTATCAACAAATTTCGCTGTACAGTGAAATAGCTCCATCTCGGAAACCGTTCGGAACAGGACACAGGTACATGTACACTTTTTTAGTTAGAATGGTCGATACTGTGACCTCCCTGAATATTGACCTTTCTTTCTGGGACACTCTGTATTAAAAAGCCACGTCATTCGAATGGCATGTTTTTTTCCTTATATTACACTTCGAGTTTCATTCACTTAGTGTTACAAAACAGTTCTGTTCCTATGAAACCTGTTCCCATATCAGTTTCTTAAAGCTGCTGCTAGACATGTGTGGAACATGTTGGCGATGCTGTGCAAACTCCTCACTAGTTCTCGCCAGACTCCTATATACGTGCTTAATTACCTTTGCCTGAGCGCTGTATCTCCAATGTCCCACACCAATTCCAACATTGGAGTGCCTTTCGATAGCTCATTGCCTTCTTAGTAAATCATCGATCGTACATAAGGTCATATTGACCACTCAGAACGACCGGCTTGACGCAGTCGTCTGTACAAAGTTGTTTATGAAGGAAAAAATTGCAGTAAAATTTGAAACAAAACTGTTTACGAATACAATAAATGGAATCATTTTGGGAGACATGACTAGACACGCGGTGTATCCGAATCTGTGGTATAGTGAGTGAGGGGCGTTGTAATGGAGTTTTGCTGTGTGAGCAATTTATTATTTTCTTACTTAATGAAAAAGGGCATACCTAATGAGTCAGATTTGAGCTACTCACATCAGTGACTATGGACATGCATGTGTCTACCAAACTACATGGCATCACACACTCAAACATGATTTGTCCATGTTTTACGCCTAGAATTAGAGACAAAGTTCTTCATTCGAATGGTAATACTGTAAGAATTACGATTTGCATGGTCATGAAGATTCCTATTATCTTCTGGACGATGGTACCATATAGTCTGATAGATGGGTACCAGTGGTTTTTGAGGAACACTGTTCATTCGTCAGAGTAGATGTAGTGTGGTAAGTGAATACCAACATTTCAGAGGATCATACTGCATCCATCTTCAGGGTAGAAATTAGAGGCACAATGTTCCTCTGAAATGTGTCACAACATATCATAACAGAGAAAACCACAATATACAGGTAAACGTATGGTTTGATATTGTGACACAGCAGCGGAGAGACTGGAATAGTGGAGCCAGAAGAGGAGGCCATTGGTAAGGAAAGCCCAATATACACGTTTTCACGACAACCCACACGTGACACCACAATACAGAACTGTTACAAACGGTGTTTTCTATTGGGTTCGGCCCCATAATATATAGCAAGCACGAATTATCCGACTACGACTGCAAGCACTCAGTTGCCAAAAAACTTCTGGCAGTGATCCTCAAGAGACTTGGCGTCAAGATGAACTGTTTGGTGGTAACCCGCCAGTCGTAAAGTAACTCTGGCTCTCTCTCTCTGAACTTCAAGTTCCCCGCACGGAAACGGATTCGAATATCTCCACTGTATCCCTGCGTGTCATAGGAGGCAACAAAAGGGTACCCAGTACCTGCTGGGAGTATAACTGGGCCACCCTGTTCCTGGAGGACATAAATACAGGGACCTCACCTTCCAGGTTGGAGAAGTCTCAAATCTGAAGCAGTAAAATATGGTCATGAGTCCGTGGGGCTTGGATGGAGAATGAATGCACTGGCAAGGGCCAGCTGCAATTGCAAACAACAGACCTGTCCTCTCTTCAGAGAGGGTGCCCCACGTCAACAAGCCTGCAACTGTCTGACAGTAATAAAAATCTGGTCTTGAGCCCCAGATGAGTGTTTGACACAAAGATAGACTGGCCGACTGACTGTCAGTTGCAATATAACTTCGACTCTGAACATAGTCAGTTGAGAATGTGAGGAAACTTGGAGCCATGGGTTAGGTGCGAGACATTCACCAGCCTGTGATGACGAAATCATAAGAGGACATTGCTGGGATCAGTCACCAGGCAACCATATCCAGTTACCAGCCAAATCCCTGTGTCTTGTCACTAAAACTGATGACAATATATTTTAATCTTTAGGTATGTAGGAATAAAAAAGAAAAGGAACATTAAATCTGTACTAAATGGTAGCAGAAATTTCGCAGACGTAATATGTTCTAAAACTTCATTAACTATATTACTTTTTCTTGTTACTGTTGCTTTCAAGTACTTGAACTTACCACATTTTGAACGGTTTTCTTTATCCAGTAAAATGTCTGTTGCCTTGCAGATGGATAACAACAACATCTGTGCAATCCAAGGATCCCCCTTCAAAGGGATGCCACGTCTTCGAGTTCTCAGTCTTAAGAACAACAGGATGACGTCCTTGGCTGAACCAGCATTCCAACATCTTCGCAGTAACATTGCAGTTCTGGACATTGACGGCAACCCATTATCCTGCTCTTGTGGTATGATGTGGCTGCAGGCATGGTTGAAAGAGGCATCTTCAGAAGAGGGTCCTCACTGTGCTGATGGTTCCCTGCTGAAAGAAGCGCGTCTCTCCCGACAAGACTGTAGGAAAGTAGATACTCCCATAGTTGGATGTGAAGCTTCACCTCCAGGTAGGTACTCCAGATATATTCTCGCCAGGAAGGTTAACTCCTGACTGGCTTCTGTCTTGGGTTGACTGAGCTTTACCAAATGCACATGTGTCAGGTGACAGGATGATTATGAATGATGAATTGGAAGTAACCTGACAGAGAATAACAGTGATCTACCACAATTTGTTTGGAGGGCCTAAGGAATATATTGTGACGTGCTGAGCTATGGATGACGCCCCCGCCAGCCGTGATGCGCCGAGCGAAGCCGAAGCGAGCCGATGTTAGCCGAGTCCTAGCATCCTGGTCGCTAGGCAACGCAAGTCAACAGCGGTGACGTCACCAAGTAGTAACAGCGGTTACCTCCGCTAGCGTTACATAGCAACACAGCGACATAGCAACAAGGGTGCCTATTACGTGGCCGTTTTCCCGTATTGTCCGATCGAGGCTACATACGGAGCAGCGAAGGCTATTCACAGGTTGTACTGAGTTGTACTGTGACAGCCGCCGAGTCGAGACGTAGAGTCAGCCAGTCAGTTGTATTCTGGCATTTGGAGTGTACTAATTGTGATACTGCAGATAGCAGTAATCGTCAGATTGTAATTTGGATGATTGTAAGTGCGAATGTGAAATAAAATTCGCTACATCGAATACATCGAGAATTTATTTGTCGCGATATATGCCCGATACGTGACAATATATATATATATATATATAAAGGTCAGTTATAACAGCTGTCCAGATCAAATTATCACCTCAGTACCTCCAACATGTGAAACAGGTATGCTTACCACTGAACTAAGACATTTGGTCTCTCTTTGATTACCTTGGTGCTACTTAACCAGACTGTGCATTAACAGCATCTGTATACGAGGTGGTATCGGAAAGTTCCCGGACTGTTGTAACTGCATTGGAGACAGAAGATGAAGAGGGAGGCCAATGTCACACTTCCGCACGCCTATTGCATCAGTCTGCCACGTGACACGGCGCTGTGAACACGCACTTTTTTACAAGAGTGCTTTTTCGACTTCGTGTTTCGTTTTGTTCACGATGGACGGCAAAACTGAGCAACGTGTCTGCATCGTGTTTTGCATGAAGCTCGGTACATCCGCTACTGAAACCCTTGAAATGCTTCGTGAGGCTTTTGGAGAACACTGTTTAAGCTGGACAGCGGTTTTTTAATGGTATTCAAATTTCGAGGCCGGCTGAGTGTCAGTTGAAGATGACGAACGTTCAGAGCGACCATGCACTATCAAAACGACAGAAAATACTGAAAGAATTGAGAACTCATCCCTGAAGATTGTCACTGAATAATCCATGAGCTCGCAGACACCGCTGGGATCAGTTATGGAGTTTTCCAGGAAATCTTAACAGAAAATCTGAACATGTGCCACATTGCTCCTTCATCATGACTAGGCACCTGCCCACACGTCCCTGAAAACCACAGAGTTTTTGTCTAATAACAACGTGGTTATCTTTCCCCATCCTCACTACTCGCCGGACTTACCCCTGTGATTTAGCTTTGTTTCCCAAATTGAAAATGAAACTGAAGGGACAACGTTTGAAACAGTGTCTGGCATCCAAAGGGAACCACAAGCGGTACTCGACAGCATTACGGTAACTGACTTCCACGATGCTTTGGTAGCGTGGAAATAAAAAAACAAAAAAATGATGGGATCACTGTATACGTTCCCAAGGGGATTATTTTGAAGGAGATGGCAACCAGAATTGAGTAAGTTAAGCCAGCATTTCTTTTTGACCTAGTCTGGGAACTTTCTGATAGTATCTCATAAAATATTCAGACTGTCATCTGTCATTTTATATGCCACTAAATTGGATAAAGCAAAGCATTATATGAACTTATGAAACACTCTCTTGTAATAAAAATGTTTTTTTTTTTCATTACAGTACAGTTGTTTGAAGACAAAATAATTTAGACCTAAGAGGGAGGAACTAAACAGGGAATGGAGACATGGGAACAGGTGGGGGAAAGTCAGGACTCTACACCCCCACCACCCCCTGGAGTATTTTGAAAAATTTAAATTGGAAAGTAGAAAGAAAATACACCAATATTTTACCAAAGGATAATGAACACAGTTTGTGGCACAACACTGTTCATACAAATATCTTGAAACAGCTTAGATGTAAGTTCACATGCAAATTCCTGCCTCCCCTCCCCCCCCCCCCTTCCCCTTGTAAAGAATTCTGGTAGTGCCCAGGAATGGGGGATATTGTATAACAATGAACTTACACAGGTCACAGAATTGTTCCTGTAGTGACGTGAAGGAAGTTGAGCTCAGATGGAAAGAGAAAATATATGAACATAGAATTTTCATAGGGAAACTTCTCAGAAAGTGATAATTTGAAGAACATTAAGATGAATATAAGGAATACAGTAGAATGGGTAATGGCTGAAATGGGTTCAGGATATTATTCACTTACAGGTTGAAGTTTCATGTTCTAGTAAGAAAGTGTTACTTGTTTCGTTACGTGGCATTCAAAAATGTTTACCAATTTTTAATTAAATGTGTTAGGGCCCCCATACACACACACACAGTTTGGTCTCCAGTTCAGCCTGCACAGTTGAAGACTGAAAGGCAAAACTGATGTGTGTGGTGCGGCCGGCCGGCCAATCGTTTGGACTGTTGGCCTGTGGGAAACCCGTCAGTCCGTCAGTTCTACCTGCAGGACCATAGCACGTGATCTTTGTGACTCGGCATTATTGGCTGGAAGACCGTGATTGTGGCATGAAGCCTGCCGGTTTATCTGCACATGTATGGGGAAGGAAAGGGAGGGGGTAAACTGTGAAAGTTTTGCCTGTAAGGTTGATCGGAAGGCCAAACTGTGTGTGTATGGGGGGCCTTACAGTTTCAGTGTTGAAACTGAAATTCTTGTTTACTGTATATAATCACCTCAAATATTACATTCTTAATTTGTAATTTGGTAAAATCTATTGTCACTTTTTGTGAGATTAGAGATTCTCATAGCTCACAGTTAACAATTATCGGTGATGCCACATTGTGTGGGATTCAGGAATATGCCTGTCATATGCCAGAACACCGCAATCTTGGTTATTACTTAGGTTTACTTTGTCTGAAGAATACATCAAGTTTGGACAGACATCAATATTTTTAAAAAAGCACTGAAATTCAGTCACCTCTCAACCTGATGCTGCCCCTTCCAAACAAGTCATCTACAGAATGTTATTCTATGATATTACAGGTGCTTCTCAGATGCTGTCAACATGGATGGCAGTGAAAAACGGCACTGTGGCCCCATCACCAGAAGAATCAGAGTACTTCTACGATGAGTATGTGGAGTACCAATATGATGAAGGCAACGCAACTGCAACCAAGAACCGCAGCTCAGTGATTCTGACCACAGACATACCTCTCGTAGTGCAGCCTTCCAGCCCAGATCCTGTCTCAGCCTCGAACACTGGAGTATCATCTCACTACATTCCTGGAGACACACCCACTTTCTATGCAGGAAGTCGCAATGAAAAAAACAAAACCACAGGAACAAACAATGCAGTGAAACAACAAGCATCTGCCCCCCCTCAGGCTTCAAGTGGCTTCACCTTCTTTGGTATACCACTTCCAAGTTTAAGCCTCGGTACACTGTGGGGCTCTGGAAGGAATGCAGATGCTAAATCTGGTTCTAGTGGGATGAGGTTTGTTGGTGCCCGAGGTAAAGTTCAGATGCTACCTACACCAGTCCAGTCTGGAGGATTTGTACCGATGTTGCCAGGTTCAGGTGGTTTTGTGCCCATTGCTGGCCCACACATCAAACAGAATGGCATGAACCAGTCACAGAGTGCCCATCATGGCAATGATGCCAACTACAAAACTCGGTCAAGTACAGGTAGCAGTAATGTTTCAGCCCATGGACAGAAAATCAGACCAGAAGGCTCTCACACTGATCCTTCCAATGCGGTGTTCCCTGTCTCAAACCTGCAGGTCATGCCATCAACAGCTGACCAAGCCAAGAAACTACAGTTCGCTAACAACACTTCAGTTGATATCAGTCGCATGCAGATGAACCGGACCTGGCAAAATGAACAGATATCTGTCCTTCATAATGATTCTCGTTCAAATAACATTGAAGAAAATGTTCTCGATCATGCTCTGGCCCTGAGCACACCATTTTCTTTTGTAACAAATGATTTGGACACTGAAACAGCAACAAAGCCAGCAGAGGAAAATACAGTATTCTTATCCCGTTTTCAACAGCGCAAGGGAGAAAAGAACGCAAGTCACGAAGCAAGTGATGGAGCCAGATGGGGATTCATCAACTGGTTTCAGACACCATCTCCCATCAATGAAACCAGTTCCACAGAAGGTGAGAAATAAGTAAAACTCCAGGTGAGGTTTGGAATTAAGTAGCTTTAACTTGAAGATTACTGTCATCAGGGATGTGACCCATGTAGTCAGGTTGATATTTACAAAGGTTTTGGAGGCACATGCCGCCTCCATCTTCATGGTTAAAGAATTAAGTAAAAGGTAAAAAAGGTAAAGCTATCCCTGTAACAAGCCGTGGAGGCCCATAGGGTTGTGAGACGTTGAGGCTCCCCAGTTTTCTCTAGACATTGGCACACAGATGGCAATAAGGTTGTCAGCCTGACATGCCAGCTGCCCTTTACCCTGGGGAATATTCCTGGTACTTATTTCTGTTAGAGGCTGATTTCAACCCCAGGGCCATAGTGCAGCTGGAAAGAGTAGGTAAACTGAAAAAAAAAATCCACCTCATCAGGACACGAAACTCGACCTTCTGGCTTGTAGCATAGTGCCCCCCCAAGAATTAGGAAAGTATAACTGGTTAAACACTATGCCATGAAGATGTATGGGGGGAGTGGATGTGTATCCACGTTATCTTGACCTCAGCACTCGTTGAAGGTGAGTGGTCAGCTTCACGCCCCAGGAAAAGGGACCCCCGATATCCACTGGATACAAAGCTGGGTGGGCCCCAGAGCCAACCTGGATGACATGGAAGAGAGAAAATTTTTTACAGGGACTCGATCTCTGGCCCCTCTGCTGTCCAGCCCATAGCCAGTCGCTATACACCTACTGTATTATTAGGTGTGTGCAGAAAATGTGGTACAGACATAGGAGGGTTAGTACCTGGACTGAGGCCCTAAGTGAACCAAAAGGGAACAACGAAGGCATGTGAGGCTCTTGAAATGGTCACTTTCCAGAGGTAGAGTGGAAGAAATAATGACTAAGTGAACCAATGGGTGATACAGGAAAGTCATGAGAGACAGAGAATGTCTTCCCTCCCTTTAACTTCACCTATGTTTCTTGCAGTAAGCACGTAAGAAAGATACTATGAGGCAGTAACCCCCAACCACTAAGCTGTGAAAAGAGGCTTCTGAGGACACATATTCAGAGTTATGGCTGTAACAGATAACTTTCAGAGACTTCATGAGCTACATGGAAGTGGATGGATGGGTGTAAAGAGGAACAAAGTTTGCTAACACTAGCAAGATATCAAGCTGGGCTCTGCTGTTGTGTAGTCTGGAAGGTGAATACTGATATTTTGGAGTAACATGCAGGCTCCAAGACCACATGGTGTCACAATCCAGAAGACTACAGTCTGAACAGATGCACACATACAAATATATATATGGCTCTCGCCTGTGTGGTCCAGTGGTCAGAGTTCCTGGCTACAGATCCAGAGGTCCCGGGTTCGATTCCCGGTGCTACTAGATTTTCTGAAAAGTAGTGGGTCTGTAACGGGGTCCCCTCAGCTTCATGAGGATAATCGAGGAGCTACTAGAAAACCGAGATTAACAGCTGTGGGAATCCGTTGCACTGACCACGCCTCACCCTCTATCCACAAAAGATGGCACTAACTTTGCTGAAAAGCGGCAGTCATTTGGTCAGTATAGTTCGCTTGCGGACCAAAAGCCACAGAGTATATATATGGCTTTCTTTCACACTGCACATTTTTTAACACACTTATGTCAGCCTCCATAGGATCTAATAAGAGTGGAAATACAAGCTTCAGCTAGGGTACATAACTTCACAGTGACCATTACTGGTGACTAAAACTATTGCTAAATAGAAAAACAACAAAATGGCTTTAAAAAAAATAACTACGTATAGAAACAAGTGAACACAAAACTTAACAAAACTGACTAGTAATACTAAAGAAGTTCTTTGCAATTTTATACATTCAGTGGCCCTGACATTCATTTAACATACATGAAGATCTACTGCAGTATAGCTATTCTCTGCAGGTATATGCACACTGACATACAAATTATTTTTCCTTAACATAATCCATTAAAAACCTGATGAATTCAGATGGTTTTGATATTCTGCACATGTACCTCAGAGTGCCAATACAGTTGAGTGGCAGCACTCTTCAGGGGGTACCAGATCTGAGTCTCATTCCTAAGAAGAGCTATCCTGAGGATATCAGTTTTCTCATTCCCTCCAAACATATGCTTGGATAGCACCATAAGGGAACCACACACCTTCCTTCCACAACATCTCCAATTCATATTTCACAAGCATCCTACAAACTATGTAGTTAAAAAAAAGTATCATTAAATAAATAAGAAATCATGCAGCTCAGAATGGGATGACAAAAAATGTACACAGTATTTTAATGGGGAATAGATCCATTGGATCCCCCCGATGGTGTCTCTACTTTGACGTGGTGGAGGGGCTTGCGTGGTAAAATGACCCTGAGAGCTATGCCGGCGGTAGCATAGCTACTGGTAGGGTCACCCATGCTGGACAGGTCGAAGGTGATGACCCAGACTAAAAGAGATACCCTGGCCCTCCAGGTTGGGGGTTGGGCGAGAGGATGACGACCTCTCACCGTAAAAAAATATAAATGTCTCGAAATCTGGAATCAAGCCTCAGAAACCTCAACAGAATGGAAGACGACTTTTGGCAAAGAATATGGACTACTCTCTAGGTACATGGAATGCGAAAACCCTCAATAAACCACGTGCCATGAAATCGGTACTAGAACAGATAGGTAAGTACAGTATGAAAATCACAGCCATACAGGAAATTAGATGGCTGGGTAAAGGAATCATGGACTTAAAGAAACATACTATATGTTACAGTGGTAAAGCAGAAGGCAATCAGGAATTTGGTGTAGCCTTTGTAATAGAACGAGAATTTAAAAGTGCAATAATAGACTTTAAACCAATAAGTGAAAGCATTTGCACTTTGAGAATTAGAATGAAATTTTTCAATATGACGTTGATGAACGTGCACGCACCTACAGAAGAAAAAGAGGAGGAGGTCAAAGACTATTTCTATCAATAAATGGAAGAGACATATGATTCAATACAAAGTAATGAAATACAGCTTATTTTAGGGGATCCTAATGCCAAAATATGTAAAGAGAAGGAACACAGAGGAGTAATTGGGTCAGAAAGTTTACATGATACAACCAACCATAATGGAATAAAATTAATAGATTTTGCAGAAAGTAAGAACTTGATCATCAGCTCTACATACTTCCCGCACAAAAATATACATAAAAGGACATGGGCAGCAC